AGCAGCAGCAGATGTAGCAGCAGCAGATGTAGCAGCAGCAGATGTAGCAGCAGCAGATGTGGCAGTAGCAGATGTAGCAGCAGCACATGTAGCAGCAGCAGATGTAGCAGCGGCAGCAGATGTAGCAGTGGCAGCAGATGTAGCAGCAGCAGCAGATGTAGCAGCAGCAGCAGCGGCGGATGTAGCAGAAAATGAAGCAGCAGCAGCAGCGTATGTAGCGGCAGTTTTACACAAGTTTCGCATTTACAACAGATGTAAGGTCCCTTTCACACAGGGCAGCAAATACCGCCAGCGTCCGACGGTATTTACCGCTGAACCTGAGCGGACATACGAAATGTGCACTGCTGTTCACACACGACGGCTTTTACTGCGGCGTAGAATTTGACGCCTGACGCCCCTGTGTGTCGCGCTAAAACTGCGGCGGTAGATTTGCCGCGACCAGGGTTGAATTAATTCAATTAATTCAACCCTGGCCGCGACAGTTTAGCTTGCAATGGTGTTCAATGTAATCTATCACACTGGGCGGTTTTTGACGCCTCATATTAGCAGACAGTGGGACCGTATTTTAGGTGCATATAGTAAACAGCACTGCAAGACTGATAGATTATAGACTGATATTGTTACATAAATATCGGTACATAAATATTGTTACATAAACATTGTTACATACATATTGTTACATAAACATAAAGATATACAATGATAAATATATATTTCTATAAATTGATAGAGATATATTTCATAAAAGATACCTATATTTTCCATAAAATATATAGGTATTTCCAAGGAGATATATTTACATTATTCTCAAATAGAGATATATTTTCATATAGAAATATTATTACATAAACATAGAGATGGACTGATGGTGCATAGAGCACTGCAAGACTGATAGATTCCAGCGGTAAAAATCGCCTCGTGTGAAAGATAGCGCGGTAAAAACTGCCGCGGTATTTTTAACGCGCGCGTTATTTGCCGCCCTGTGTGAAAGCTGCTTTTCAGCTCAAGCAATTGCGACAGCAACGTTAGATTCAAGAACAATAGCAGATGTAACATCAGCAACAGATGTTGCAGCAACAACGGATATAACAGCTCTATAAGGTCTAACGGCTGCAGCAGATGTAAGAGAAGCAGCACATGTTTTTGCTGCAGTAGTAAAAAATTCTGCTGCAAGAAACGTAGCAGCTCTTTTGCAGCTCTAGCAGACGTGTAGCTGCGTATATAGCTGATACAACAGATACGATAGTAGCTGGCAGTATCATCGCACTAATATCGCTGTTATTTTCAGTATCGCAGCACCAACGATATCTCAAAGTCACTGGTCTTAATATCGCAGCTATACGCAGCTGCAGCGCCACAGCTGTCGCCAGAGCAGATGTTGCTGCCGTCCTCCCGTGTCGCTGATATTGTTGCCGCTGCTGCTGTTGTTGTTGCGACAGCTCTTGTTACCGCTGTTGTTGCGACAACTCTTGTTACCGCTGCTGTTGCCGCTGCTGCTGTTGTTGCGACAGCTCTTGTTACCGCTGTTGTTGCTGCCGCAGCTGTAATGCGATGCAGATTGAAGCCTCGGTGGCCATAAAGCTGCAGCTGCTTCAGCTGTTGTCGCAGCTGCGACTCGCATTTTTGAGTTGCCACGAATTTGATGGACTACACTTTGCATCGCGCTGCCTTGCGTCACAAAACAAGTTTCTATTTACAGCGTTTTACGTCAAATGATGTCTATCGTAAATTGGTCCTAATTAAATATTACATACTGGACCTAAATATTGCACCTTAATATAGTGGAGCTAACGTATTCATTAATTGAATATTTTCGAATTAGCTCAGTTAGGGCTTATATTGGTGAAAAAGCCGTAGGTGGATTAAAAATCCTGGGGAAACCGTAGGCAATTCTAATTTCGATTCTAAAAATGTCTGGTCATTTTCGATTCGGTGCTATGGTAAAACGCAATTCATGTCTTAGGTTATGGGTAACTATATAGGTTATATGGGTAACACGCAATTCACATCTTAGGTTATGGGTAACTATATAGGTTATATGGGTAAAACGCAATTAATGTCTTAGGAACTAGGCGATATGGGAAACATAGGTGCTGAAGGGAACATGCTACGGGTACTGGTTTATTGGTTGGAAACCAGATGAAATTCAGAGCAGGGATGCTTAGACCCTGGAGCCGACATAAAATTGCCAGAGAACCGCGACAGAGCAGGAATGTCTGCTTTTGAGACCATGTTAGTTGAAGTCTGACTCGTATTCTTACTAAAGGTAAAACTCGTACTCGTAAAGGTCTGACTCGTACTAATAGGTAAGTAATGCTAGTGACCACCCAAGCATCTATTGACACACATCCAGTCCTGCAAACACAGCTGAACTTGGTCATCATGTAAAACATATTAAGAGTACCATTTGAAAACTAACTAACACGTTCTTTAACCAGCACATTTGTTTTCCTTTCGCCCCATACCAAAATAACTGCTTCTGTTGATGCCAATGTTTTTTTTTTTTTTGCAGGAAAGGAGCCGTGCCGCTGCTCGTAGCGAATTTATTGTTAAATACATGCAACTATTGTTGATTATTTTAATATATATAATAATATTGTACGCCACACTCACGCTTCTTCCGATTGTATTTCAGGTGAAAATCCGTACACCGCTGCTCGTAAAGTCAACTTATTGATAAATAAGGGCAACCTTTTTTTAATAAATTTATAATATTTCGAATAATTAAACTTCGCAATATTAATATTTCATTATTAGACGCTAAAGTTCAAAATGTTAATATAAGACACTAACGCTCATGTCGTTTGCATTTCAGGAGGAAAGCCGTACCGCTGCTCGTGGTCAAAACTTATTGAATCTTTGATTAAGAATGATCGATTATTGATTAAATCTTTATTAATTTGTTCATAATATTACAAATAATTAAGCTACGCAATACCAACATTCCATTATCTAAACTTCCTGTCATTTTTATTCCAGGAGAAAAGCCGTACCGCTGCTCATGGGACGGCTGCACGTGGAGGTTCGCGCGCTCTGACGAGCTCACGCGCCACTACCGCAAGCACACGGGCGCTAAGCCCTTCAAGTGCCGACACTGCGCCCGCTGCTTCTCCCGCTCCGATCATCTTGCGCTCCATATGAAGCGCCATCAGTAGACCTTGCGCTCCATATGAAGCGCCATCAGTAGACCTCGCGCTCCATATGAAGCGCCATCAGTAGACCTTGCGCTCCACATGAAGCGCCATCAGTAGACCACCTCGCGCTCCACATGAAGCGCCATCAGTAGACCGCCTCGCGCTCCACATGAAGCGCCATCAGTAGACCAACGCCACAAGTTGGCTGACGTCGCCAGTGTTTGCCACAAGTTTGTGGACGCTGGCAAGGGTCGACACAGGTTGACATACGTCGGCAAACCAGCACGGTTGACATGAATAAAAAAACATGTAGTTTCATGGAACGTCGCTAGGGTGACGCGTGTTCAGTTTTGGAGCACGGGATAACTTCGGTGGAATTAATAACATTGTGAACGTTTTCAGTGGGCAACGTACGTCTCTTGGAGAGAGAAATTGCAAAAGCGCAGCCAGTAAGAAATGTTTGTAACTGATTTGCACTGGAAAGCGTCTATGTGTCCAGGCAAAACGTATCAGGAGGCTGGCTGGAACGCGTTTTGTAGTTCATGATCATGCACATTTTAGGTTACTTTGCATTCAAACTTCTCACTAACCTTACTTTTTTGTGCTGATGTGCTGCTGATGGTGTCCTGTGGTGTTGTATACTGCGGTGTAGTGTGATGCGTGTGGAGGCTGTGGCTCTAAGATCCACCCATGAGAGCGCACTCTGGAACGGCTAACGCTAGTTCCAGCGGCATACTAGAAAATACATAAATTTCTATGGCTTGGACGTTGTTTCCATTGGGGTGCAGTTTGAATACTCGCTGCTGTTGAGGTGCAACGCTCTTGTCTTCATATTCCCTCGCACGCTGAGGCATAACAATATGAGGATGTTTTTCAAACAATGTGAGGACTCAGGATATTCCCATCACAATTAGGGAAGTCCACTCATCATGTGCGAATTTAATGCATCTCGTGAAAATACGCCTTGCATACCGCGGAAGTATACCACGCATTCCGTGGTAAAATGACTAACATCCCATGCATATTGTGAAAAATTTTCCACGTATATCGTGCGATTATTCCGCGCATACGTGAAAATATACTTCGCATATTTTGAGAATATCCCTAGCAAACCATAGAAAAATGCGCTTATCGTGAGTCACGCGCATCCTATGGAAATTTCTCGCGCATATCGTGGTAATATCCCACGCAAGTCAAGGGAAAATAATATTATTTAGTTTGTATTGGGTCTTCCTCATGTGGAAGAGCAACTACGAGCGTCTGGTGGTACTGAGAGTACCTTTTGTGCATGGACGAACTCTCGTCGGTGATGGTAGATTCAACAAGAAAATGTGATCGAAGCCGGTAGTGTTGACATGGAAGTTGCATCTAAGTTGATGTTCGTGTTGATATCGGAAGAGTTTAAAGTGTTCATCTATCTCTCTACCTGTGACTTGACACATGATACTGTTCTGTGTGTGAAGTTTTCTCAATTTCGATGCGTATTTTATTACACTGTCAAAATCAACAAACGTCTCTGCGACATCAGCTGTGTTCACAGAAACCCCTTTCGTAAATAATATCCCGCGTCTCCTCCTTGTGTTGGACACAATTTCTGTATAGGCAACAGCGCCGCGCGTTGCCTGGGGGGTTTGATGGTAACAACAGGGGTCGATGGACACAAAAGTGGCCTGTCTGCTATAGTTGTACATGCCATAATGTTACGCAAGAGTTGTTGCATGCTATATATGGTTTCACGCAACAGTTGTACATGCCATGGTTTCAAGCAACAGTTATACATGCCATGGTGTTACGCAAAAGTTACACAGGTCATGATTTTAGAGTCATGGATTTACAAGACACTAGTTTACACCTATTCGTTCAACACTCCATTGGTTCATACATCGTTGGATTTAAGGCATGCATTAAAACGCCGTGTGATCACACCTCGGCTCTCCCGTTTACTTGTGTTCATGACGTGAAGCAAAGATTCACGCCAGAGACAACAAAGAGTATTAGTGAACAAATATTTTTTATATTACTTTAAGAAAATTATTAGTTTATTAGCTCTGGAATTCTGTATAAAGTCGGAGGGAAGTTGACGTTGTTGGCGCCCAGGTTGCGGGGGCACCGGAGTTGTGGTGTATAACGTGTGGTTGCTTTGTATGAATTCTTTATGGCTTTTCTATGCATTTTTTGTAAGATATTCAGTGGTAAGAACTAAAGCGATTCCAATCGTGCAACTTATAATAAGGCGTATAAATGTGTTGCTAAGTGTGAAGACTTTTGACCTTCTTGGGCGAGTGACATGTGACAGGTCGTTGCTATGATACCGGCTCTCGTTATTGGTTGTCATGAAAACTTTTTCTTGTTATTGGTTACTTTGGAAAATGGATATTGATATTGGTTGCCATGGAAAAACTTTATTGATATTGGTTGCCATATCGACTGTTTCCCGTAAACGCTGTTTTTTGACGGTGTTGGTTGTAATGATTTTTTTCTGACCAGTTTAATTGCCATGGATTAAATTGCTCATTTAATTTACTGCCAAAAGTGTCAAAGCTTCATCTGTATGTGCTATAAATATAGTATTCGAACGTATATATTAAAAGAAATATACTGAATTTGGCCATTTTGAATCTGCAAAAAATTGAAGCATTTTCAAAAACCTGTACCAAAATGAATGGTCTCAAAACACGCAAGTTATGAACCAGCTTCCTGTGATGGTTATTCTCCTCTGTGCAACAGCGATTTAATATTATCTCTCAACCAAAGTTTATCATCACTATGTTCAATTCAATTCGTGATGCATGACAAGTTTATGACTGTAACGCGTTTGGTTTCAATAAATCATCCATCCTCTCACCAACAAACATTCGTGTTTGACGCGCACGAAAAATCTTGCAAAGTTTCTTTACGCATCAGCTGGGACGACGACTTGTCTTATGTGAAGGCAGTGGCTTGATTCTCATACTCATACATCTCACTTTTCTTCCCCTTTCATCAGTTCCTCCATCATTAAACTTGTACGTGCTGCTTTCATCTCACTTTTCTTTCCCTTTCATCAGTTCCTTCATTATCAATCTTGTACGTGGTGCTTATCTCACTTTCCTTCCCCTTTCTTCAGATCATCCATTTTCAACCTTGTACGCGCTGATTCAATCTCACTTTTCTTCCCCTTTCATCAGTTCCACCATCATCGATCTTGTACGCCGCTGCTCCATCTGTTTTCCGCACCATATTAAATTCCATGGCGTCGAACGCCCCCATTTGCAATGATTAGAAACAGGCTCTGTTCTGCAAGCGAGTAAATTGAAGAAAGTTCGTGAATGTTGTGGAGATAAAATGTATGTGGAGGACTCTAGTGAACGTTAGCGTACAGAGTGACACAAAAAAAAACAGAGCTCACTAAAAGTCTTATAACTCCTGAAATTTTATTCAGTTTGAAACAAAAATTCTATGGAATTATGTACAACCTATGTAGCCAACATCTGCAAAATCTCAATTCTATACCACAAAAACTCTTTGTTCTACAGCCGCTCAAAGATATGTTCCAACAACTGCAAATGTCTTTTGCTCTGTAGTCCAAGGCATCTCGAAGCTCACACGTGGTAGACTCTTAGATCAATCCGTCTTCTTAATGAATCTGAAACAAATAACAGGATTACTTGAGTATTGTGGAAATTATTCAACTTTTTATGAGCTCTGTTTTTTTTGTGTCACCCTGTACAACGAAGTTTGTTCCCTAGTAGAACACTCATTGGTGGGGGCTTGTGGTTGTCCCGGTGTAGCGTTTAGTTTTCACTTATCCTAGTTGGACGCATAACTCGTTGTAACATGCTTCATGATTGGCTCGTGATTGGTGACACAGCAGTCAGTCACGTGGGCCTATAGCTCTTGTGACACGTTTCAGGATTGGTTTGTGATAGGCGTCACACCAGCCACGTGGACCGATAACTCTTGAAAGCTTCGTAATTGGTTCGTGATAGGCGTCACATCAGCCACGTGGACCGATAACTCTTGTAAGACTCTTCGTGATTGGTTCGTGAAAGGCGTCACACCAGCCACGTGGACCGATAACTATTGTAAGACGCTTCGTGATTGGTTCGTGAAAGGCGTCACACCAGCCACGTGGACCGATAACTCTTGTAAGACGCTTCGTGATTGGCTCGTGATCGACGACACACTAAATCGCGAGGCACGAAACAAATTACACTAAAGTAGGCACAAATGTGCGCAGTTATGTTGCGTTAGTGAAGAGTTTGTGCGGGAAATGTTGATGACGGTTTGAAAGCTTGTCCTATTTTAATTAATCTCTAGTTACGAGAACGAGAAAATTAGACAAATTAGTTGGATTTTATTGCTATATTTCTACGGAATGTTTAAAAAAAGAGGAAAAAGTGAAGCTATGAAGCCTTGGGAGGCAATGTACAGAAACTAGCGTTAAGCCTAAGTCAAGTAAATGTGTCGTCTAAGTAGGTTAAGTCGCAGCCATTCGAACGAATGAAACATTTCTGCTTTTCAACCGAAAATTAGTTAGGATTACGTAGTCAGCTCCTAGAACGGAAATACCGCGTAAGTGTAAGGTACCGCGTAAGTGTGAGGTACTGCGTAAATGTTGGGTACAGCGTAAGTGTGGCGTACCGCGTAAGTGTGAGGTACCGCGTAAGTACGGTACAGCGTAAGTGTGAGGTACAGCGTAAGTGTAGCGTACCGCGTAAGTGGGAGGTACTGCGTAAGTGTGAGGTACAGCGTAAGTGTAGCGTACCGCGTAAGTGTGAGGTACCGCGTAAGTATGGTGCAGCGTAAGTGTGAGGTATCGCGTAAGTGTGAGGTACAGCGTAAGTGTGGGGTACCGCGTAAGTGCATGTGGGTCACCATAAAAGTAGTTTATTAACGTGTGATAGCGTACAAGTGTGGGTTACCGTATAAATGCTAGGTTCCTGGTGAAACGCGGATAGCTTAATTCATTTCTCGTAACTATATTTCGTAGGCTAAAGACGCTCAAATTTGTTCCTGCTTCCATACAAAATGTTCCAACTGATCAAATTTTATTTGGGTTGCATCCTATGGGTAATTATCGGCGCATCATCGGCGGCCGGCAATGCCTCGGTACCTAAAGTACACCATTTTCCTTTGTGAATGCCTGCTTGGGATATGTTCCTATTTGGCCAACGATTACGCGCCTGTAGCGATTCACTAAAACAAGCGAGCATATCGACCACAAAAACGGCAGAAGTCAATTGCCTCGTTAATAACTGGCATCGATATCACTTTTTTTTCGTTAATGTAGAAATGTTATGATTAGCGCCAATAATATGCTCATGGTTACCTATTAGAACTGCGAATGGTGTTAAAAAAATTAAGAGTTCAAGAATTACCCTATAATACCATTAATTAAGAGGAATTAACGAAGCAGGATTTAAGGACAAATTCGTACACCTTAAGACCTTCAGCCCTTAATACAAACTCTAATTAGACCCTGACCCTCGTCTAGATAGTGTGCAATTGATTTGCTAGCGTAGCTCCCGACCCTCTCGTGACCCTCTTATCTCCCTGTTAATTAGATAACGAGCGTTAGCGCGCGCGATATCATGTGATACTAAGTAGGACTCTTGGCTCCTGCAAGTCTCAAGGTGCTACGTACTTCCAAAAATAGCTTAAGTCTTTGGATTTTGCGACATAAAAATGAATTAGCATACGGTGTTTCCGTGTGCTGTGCGCCTGCAGTGCTGCATAGCAAAGCAGTGCAACTGCTGTGCCGTGCGTCCGCAGTGCATTGTACCAGCAGTGAAGTGCGGTATCGCACTAGCAGTGCCGTGTAGGGCATCAGAAATGCAGTAGTGTGGTAATTTTTAAAGATGTGCTTTGTGGGTTCCAAAATGAACAAATCGTCTCTTTTTAATTGGAATTTTAAGGTCAAATCCCTCAAATTTCAAAGCAGCCCCAGCGTCTGTTTAGAACCGCCCTAGAGTCTGTTTAGATCCGCCCTAGAGGCTGTTTGGAGCCGCCCCAGCGCCTGACTATCGGAATCAGAAGCTGAGGCGGCCCCAAATTTTATTCGCTCGTCATTGCACCTTCGAAGCCGCGGAGGAACAGCGTTCAGATAGCCCAACCATCTTTTGTTATTCTTTCGAACACACACGAACAGTGCAAGTTCAACTTGTCCGCCACGAAAAGTTCGCAATAACAACGTTGATTCAATAATCAGTCATGTCACTTTTTTCATCCCGATTTCTGGAGCCCTTGTCGACCAGCGGCGCGTGTCAACAACTGCATGTGCTATCGCGATAAAAGCAGCAATTGGGTGGCAATTCAGACTATTATTGGGACTGTTCTAAAAGTAATGACGATTGAATGCTCTTTACGCAGTGACAGTTAAACACGGTGGTAATTAAAGTGATTAAAACAAACTTTCCGAGCGATTAGCGTTGGATTTTTCTCCCAGGTTGTTGCCTCCACTTGAATGTCTGGCTTTCTCACTCTGCTTCGCAATTCGCAAAGGAAGAAAAATTGGCCAACCACAGCAGCGGGAATTCTTAATGCGCGTATCGTAGCAAAATTGGGAGTGTGACATTCGATCTCTTCCAAAAAATCTGGTATTTCCTCAAAATTGTAAAAATAATATCGTTTGCTGTATTATGAATACGATGGAAATTAATAATATTTTTTTGTGTAGGATCTCCTCAAATAAAAAATTTCTAGACGTAATTCCTCACACGGAACGGTCTCATACCTTCCCATTCCCCTTTCCCCCAACCTAGGGTGGAGTGTGGAAGGCTGCAGAATGGTGGAGGTATATTACACCCTTAGTTTATGAATATTTCAGGAGCAAAAAACATGGAAATTCAATGATTATTTAATCAGTATATATAGTTTTGCATCAAAGTTGACAATATTTGTGTAATGAGGTACATTTCTTTTGTGAACTTTGACTTGGGTAGCGAGCGATGGAAAAAGCTTGTTAGCTAATATCGTGAAAGTGAAACATGAATCTAAAAAGTAACTTGAAAATTTTTTAGCTGTTTTAAATGCCATTCTCATTCGTCTTTTTCTGTTTTGTAAACTGTAGTTGGACGCTGCCTCGCATTCCTTGAAAGCATTTATTTCGTTCTGTGTTCCGTCGATCATCGGTTGTCATAGAGGGACGAGGGGCGCAACATTTGGTGTACAATTGACCCACGGTGTTTTCTCTGTGTCGAGGAAGTCTTGTGGAAATTAAGAATGAATTAAAAGTCGGTGGCTCAATTTTCCAATGTCCGTGCAAACTGTTTTCAAATTCGGTAGTTTTTCAACCGTTTTATTATTAGTTATTAAGTTATTAATTGATTATGAATTTAGTATTCTTAATGAATAAATGTACGAATTTAGTTAAGAATATCGACATGATGCGTTTTGAAAAGCAAAAGGCGAGTGATCCCGAGGTGGATATGTTGGATATGTTGTGTAAGATGTGCGTTTAATGAGTTACGATGTAAGTGATAAGACATTTGTTATAGCGTCATGAGTATCAAATATGCGTTATATGAGTTTTAGAAATCAGTTATAAAATACGATTTATAAATTATTGCTTATAGGATGTGTTTTAGGGTATTATGGTTTATATGAATTGCGTAAAAGATATGAGTTACAGGAAAAGAATTACGACTTAATGAAGCTGTTGAAGGCCAGCTTTTCAGTTAGTTTGACTTAAATTTCTATTTATCCGGCTTTTGTACAGGAAATGTAATGTGCCTCTAACTTTTCGTCAAGCGACATGGAAAGTCAACACAATCACGCTCCTCGAAAGGAGTTTGATGTTGGATTAGTTTTTTTTCTTTGGCGGTTCTTTCTCGAAGTTTCTCAAAATGTTTCACTTGCCTGGGATCACTTTAAATTATTATTCTTCATCTGCATTTCCTCTCAATTAAAATGACATGTCGACACTTGGGCGATGCTTGGCCGAACATGTCATACCTAATATTCTCAATTAGGGTCGTAAGTTGCGTTCTTACCCTAGTTTATTTCTACCTGTTTTGCAATATTAACTGACGAACAATGGTAAATTAATTCTATTATTTTAGTATACTTCCATTCTTTTCCATTAGTTATCAGAAGCTTTTTATTTCTTTACTTATGTTAGATGTTCGTAGCTTTAATGCCGTATCATTTACTTTCATTTAAATCAACTTCCTTCGTTTAGTATCTTTCATTTGTCTTCTCTCATTTTCATTAAATTGTAAATTATTTCCTTTATTTGTTCTGTGCTTTTACGACCTAACTAAAGTTTTGTTCATAATAAAATTTTGCTGTTATTTTATTTATTATTTTATTTTCATCATTTTCTAATTTCCATACGAGGTTCCAAGTTTATGGGTAGAGTCCGTAAAGCTCTTTGCATGCTTTTGCTGATTCGTTGTTCATTGCCAGACTCCCAAAATTCATAGCCAAAATTTCTACGTTCTACTGTCGAACTCACCAAAAAATTTATATCAAGAATCCATTAAATTCACTGTCATGCTCTTGGTTTACAGCAAAACGCAGTTTTAATGTATGAAATGAATGGCACGCAGTCGGCCAAACCCAATAAGCTGGGCCTATACTTTCAAAAGAAGTTAAGAGAACGTAAGTACTTACGCTCTATTTTCTTGTCTATGATTGGTGGATTTTGCTTGAAAGGCCGTCAATGATTGGCTGATGAACTTACGATCTCTTAACTATATTTAAAGTATAGGCCCTGGTTGGTTACCCTACAATGCATCGTTATGAACAATGCAAGATAAACCCCCTAGCGGCATCATATAAAGATACAATTATGACAGTATGTTCATATCACAAGCCTTCAGCCTACGTGCCCTTGCTGTCATAGTGACTAGTACCAATTGTTAGGGTATATACGTTTGGAAGTAGCTTTCGATCCGACGATTCTGCGTCATGACGAGTCATTTGGACACGGATTTGTGTATAAATTAATATTTCCAAGCCTGAAAGAAACCTTGGTAATCGCGCACTCCCTGAACAGCGAAGTGCACAATGTTTATTCGCGATACCTGTTCGTCCAAAAGTCTACGTTCATTATGTTAGCTTTGCCAAATTTCTAATGAATAGCTTTATTAACAATGAAAAACACTTCAGGTTATTTTATTTAGGAATGGGTTTAAAGGGGAACTTTTTTCGTGAATAAATAAAACCTACCTACCGACCGGCCTGCCGGCTTGCTTTGTAATGTAATCTTGCATTGATTTTTTTTAATCTACAGTAACGGTCGCTTCATACGAAAAACGAACATTGGGCCAGAGAGTCCCGACCACAAAAATGTCAGGATCTAAACCATGAAATGATGTCGAGTGAATGGAGTCGGCATTTCTATCGTTTCGTGTTGATGAGAGCATCGGATTTTGCATTTTAAATATTTTCTCGTTTCTGACGTATTTATTAAATGTTTTGCATGTTTGGAGGGAGTTCCGATGTCATTATTGCCGCCTTCAGGCTTAATTAATGCTGTTTACAACCAAATATGCTCGATAAACTTACAAATACAATAATTGGTTCGTTGCTTTCTGTGAGCGGTGCTCAGCTTAGCAGGCATCGAGTGATGGATAGCATCCATTACTCTATTCAATACGCTCTACGGATAACGTTCTATTCCCACCTCAATGACAATTGGTGATCGCAATCTTTGAAATAAAATCTGGTCAATACAAAGATAAGATTTCTATTTTAAGATATGACAATTTTTGTCGTTTTAGTGATACTTACGTTCAAGCTGTTAAATAATCAAGTTTTTTTTTATTGATTGGGATAATTGTTTGAATGAATATCGTACGGCAGAGCAATTAAGAATAACTAAGAGTCTGGCGTCGCTCTGCCGCTCGCAAACACAGTAGCGATTTATTTAGACCTATGCTGACCAGGCGGTCCACATTGATGTAAGGTCAGGTAAGGTGTGAATTGTCTTCGACATTTCTTGCTGTTCCAAATCGTGCTTTCTTCACACAATTCGTTGAATTAAATCGCTTTTCGTTGGATCGCATTGCTTTTCGTGCGATCTATGGGATTGCTTGGGTTGAATCACTCAATAGTTGGGCTGAATCGTTTTTCGTTGGGTTGAATTGAAGATTTGGTTGAATTGAAGATTTGGTTGCATTGACGATTTGGTTGAATTAATTGTAGATTGGGTTGAATTGATGATTGGTTTGAATTGAAGATTGCTTTGAATTGAAGATTAGATAGAATTGATGATTGTGTTGAATTGAAGATTGGGTTGAATTGAAGGTTGTGTTGAATCGAAGATTGGGTTGAATAGAAGATTGGGTTGAATTGAAGTGCCACTCGTGGAGGAGAGCGGCAAGGATATCACTGATGTAAGGTATAGCCATATAAGGTCCTATATAAGGTAGCATATGGAGAGCCGTAAGGTCAACCTATCTATTCTTAAGTCAGTCATAAGATGTCGACTAAGGTGGTGATTTAGAATTAATACAAATTTTTTAATTGTTTAGCATGATTTAATAACGAATTTGTCTCGTTTTCCATTTTCCTGATATATGAAATAGTTAGGAATTAGAGTGAATGTTCGTAAGGAAAACCGTTGCTATATGCTAGGGTATGCATCAACCCTTGATATATGCTGGGATATATATCATATCCCCCTTATCATATATGAACCGTTGATATGCGCTGGGACATATATCAATCGTTTACATATGCTGGGACATAACTCAACCGTTGATTTATGCCGCGGGTTATATATCAACAGTTCAATATCAACCGTGAGCTATACATAACCTTTGGTGTATGCTGGTCTCGGTTCCTTTAACAAATGATTTGCACTTGGATGAACTGCACTGAATAAACCGCACTGCACTGCATGAGCACTGGAGATGCGGTGCTGTGAATGCAGTGGGAAGGAAAGACGGGGGGTAATATGTTCGGGGGACTAACATGGGTTAGGGTCAGTGGGATTAACATGTTGGTGTCAGAGGGTTAATTTGGGAACTAACTTATGGGGAACTTTGGGAGGGTTAGTCTGGAAATTTGAGGTCCAAAAGGGGGGCCTTATTTAAGGTCCTAAGAGGGAGGGGGCCTTTGGACCTCAAGGCCTCCTTGAGGTCCAAAAGGAGGGAGCAAAGTGGGGGTGCTGGTAAGGATGTATCAACCCCTGTGTTTTGGGGCTACATGGGGAACATAGGTCTTGAACTACCGCACCTGCGACACCTCAACGATAGCCCCATTCGGCAAAAACGCGTTACCACCCAAACTGAAAAAATGCGTACCAATGAGCCGCGATAACGGAAGCCTTTGAGGTTACGAAGACTTGCTTGTCCAAATTGTGTCGTGGGGTTAGGCCTGCTTCCCTCAAGTGGAATTGCGAGGTTAGGTGGGTTCCCCGGGAGAGAGTTGCGTCGTAGGGGCTAAGACGGCCTCCCCCACGGGTTATACAGTGAGGTTTAGTGAGTTGCTCTTGGGGTGTGGGGTTACTGACATCCCTTTACTACATCACGTACCATAGGGTTTGAAATTCCATGCCGTAGGGTTTGAAATTCCATCACGCAGGGGGGACGGGGGATGGGGAAGGAAGTTCATCTGTATTCAAATTTGTATCCGAACTCTGACGCTCATTGGCAGGTTTCAGTTCACGAGAAATTGTGCGGTGAAAACGAAACACGGGAGCTTGTTTGTGAGCTTGGCTCCCTTCATTCACGCTGCTGTCAATAAACAATGAAACCATAACATGTCTTTAATTATCACTTGATAAACCTAATCTTTAATAATAACTGAATTAATTAGGAACCCAAACGAAGCTTGTTCCGTGCAACCACAGCAAAGGTAAGTCAGTGGAACCTCTCGGTGGTTCCCTGATATTATAAGTGGTTATAAACTACCTCCTGATATCTCTGCCATTATCTAGGATAGTTGAAGATGATGACTATATTAAACTTTTATTTGGGATAAATCTGTGATGGAAATTAAGGTGAGTGTTGCTACCGAGTTGATGCGGGGTTACGCGTTTTGGGGCGGGGTTGCGTGTGTTTGGGTTGAGTTGCGCGTGTTGCACGCGTGTGGAATGGGGTTGCGAGTGTTGCACGCGTGTGGAATGGGGTTGCGAGTGTTGCCCGCGTGTGGAATGGGCTAGCGAGTATATTTGGAGTGGGAAAAAACATAAATATATTCAAGTGATGATAACGCTAGCCCCACACGTGGAGGGCTGGTAAGGTGGCCGTTCATGTACGCCCTGCACCCCCGTTCCTTCTACTTTTGCACAGATCATTTATGAACAAACTACTGCAACGGGCGAGATTAAATTATAACTAACTTCTCTACACCACGAGTCAAAAGTGACACCACAGCTGTGCTAGATCACCAGTCCTAGAAGTTCTGCAACTATGAGACATAACGTTTGTTTGTCCGATATATTGATATATGCTGACGTATACCAACTGTGGTATATGTCACCTCATTTTGACCGATGACATCGCCTGAATCTACAAGTTTTTGGTAAGCAACTCGAATTTTTTAATAGGAAGCGACAGGAACAAGTCTACGATAAAATAAATTTACTACGTTGCTTTATAATAACATAAAATCATCGTCCCAGTACTTAAATCGTTGGTGGTTTAAATCGCAAGTTAAGCAAGAAATCAAAAGCAAACGTAAAATCACATTATCATCATTGAAAACATTTAGGTGACAAGCTCCATTATCAGTTTAAAAAGTGAAGTAGCTACCTTCAATTATCAAAAATTATTAATTATTATTATTAATTATTATTAATTATCAATTGAAAGTAATTATCTTCAATTTCCGAACTGATGATGGGGTTGGTCTATTAAAACGATTAAACGTTGTAATCATCAACACAGTCAATAAATACAACCTTTGGCATTTAAAGAAGCCTTTGATCAAAGTTAACAAGTAAAAATAGCAGCACAAACTGTCACCATACATACAGACAAAGGTTGTTGCCAAGACAATGAGTAACTTTTCGGCACTTTTCAACATTGCACTCAAGGTATAAAATCAACACACAACTTAATCAACAGTAGAGGCCTCTATTGAAGTCAAGAGCTAAACAAAGGCCAAGTCCTCAATAAACAGTCAAGACCCCAATCAACAGTCAAGACCTCAATAAACAGTCAAGACCTCAATCAACAGTCAAGACCTCAATAAACAGTCAAGACCCCAATCAACAGTCAAAACCTCAATCAACAGTCAAGACCACAATCAACAGTCAAGACCTCAATAAACAGTCAAGACCCCAATCAACAGTCAAGACCTCAATCAACAGTCAAGACCACAATCAACAGTCAAGACCACAAT